AAACAGGGAGACCTGTTAGAAAACTAGGCCGGACACAGTGGCTCAAGCCTGTAATCCCAGCACTTTGGGAGACCGAGGTGAAAGGATTGTCCAAGCCCAGAGGTTCGAGACCAGCCTGGGCAACTTAGTGAAACCTCATCTTTACTGTAAATATATTATTAAAAAAATTAGCCGGGTGTGATAGCTCACACCTGTAGTTCCGGCTACTTGGAAGGCTGAGACAGAAGGATCACCTAAGCCCAGCAGGTTGACACTGGGGTGGCTGTGAGCATGCCACTGCACTCCAGCTTAGGCAACAGAGTGAGACTCTGACTCAAAAAAAATAAAAAGACATAAAAAGAAAACTATGGCAATAGTGCAGATAAGAAATGACGGTGGCTCAGACCAGGGTGGAGGAGGAGAAGGTGGCAAGCAGTGGTCAGATTCCAGGGATATTCCGAAGGTAGAACCAACAGGCTCCCAGATGGTTTGGAAGAAAGAGAGAAGTCAAGGATGATTCCTAGGTGCTAAGCCCTGCCAAATGAAAGAATGAAGTTGTCATTTACTGAGATAGTGAAAACTGGGAAGGGGTAGATTTGAGGGGAAAATTAATTGTTCAGTTGTAGACAAGTTAAGTTTAAGATGCTACTTTTAACATCCAAGTGGAGATCAATAACCCTTGGTAAGTTAAATATTACTGTGACTGAACTACTGACATCCAGGATCAGGGTTCTCAAATTCAAATGCTTTCAGGGGCAGGGCAGTCAACATAAATAAGTACTGAAATACAATAAGAATGGACAAGAACTGTGACCTATCGAAGTGTAAATGCCCCCTCTAAACTTGAAGCCACTACTGAGCCCAGTCTAGTTTTCCCTTTAGGAATCTAGGATCAGTGACCCCAAATATTCCAATTTTTTTTAATGTAAAGAAGAATTTAGATTTTTAACAATCAAATCTTAGAGAAAAAAAAAGTTTCACAATATACTAAAATCTAGACGTGCTCAGTTAAATAAAGTTCTTACTTTAGGACATACCAGTGTCTTTAATTTATTAAGAAATATTGCAAAAGCGATTTTGCTTAGCAATTCTCTAACTCACTTGACAGTAGAGCTCTTTTTTTTTTTTTTTTTTTTTTTTTTGATTTGGAGTCTCACTCTGTCACCCAGACTGGAGTGCAGTGGCCACTCCCAGCCACCACAGCCTCGACCTGCTGTGCTCTGGCGATCCTTCCGCCTCAGCCTCCCAAGTAGCTGGAATTACAGGCGTGCGCTACCACGCCCGGCTAATTTTTGATTTATTGTAGAGATGAGGTCTCGCTGCCCAGGTGGGTCTCGAACCCGTGGGTTCAGGCAATCCACTCACCTCAGCCTCCCAAAGGCGCAGGATTACAGGCTGAGCCACCGAGCCGGCTTAGAGTTCTTTTCATACAACATCTCAAAAAGCAAGCATAACTTAGCACGTACTTTGGAGAATGCTGGTTTATGGGTAAGTCCTAGATAACAACCCTTTTGTTCCCTCTTTGAAGGTTTTAGGGCATATATATTTATTGTAGCTTATGAGTCATAGTTGATCATAGATACACAAAACCAAATTTGTTAGATAGTCTAACATCTCATATTAGACTCGAATGAAATGTAAATGGAGCAATTACTAAAGTCTTTTAATTCTAAGTGGAGTCTTGACCCTATCACTGGTGAAGAAACACTTAGTGAGATCACAGGGGCACTGAGTCACTTTGTTTCCCATCTCCTCTCCCTTCTTCGCCTATTACACTACATAACATAGTGAAAGGAAGGACAACCAGTTACTACTATGCACAGATGTTCTTTGTTTTAATTTTCCACGAGAAAGGAAGAAAAGGAGGAAATGCATAATAAAAAGACAAGACTAATACTGTTGCAGGTCTTAAAAAATATTAAAACATTTGAGGGTCAAGGCTTGTCTATGGAAACTTAGAGTACTTGATCTGTTTACAAGAGCTCACAATACAGTTGAGGAGGTCAGTATGGAAAAAGACAAGCAATATAAAAGTGTCAAATATTGTCAAAAAAGGTCTAGAAAAGTTCAGAGAAGGGAGAAGCTAATGTGGGTCTGAGTGGCCAGAGCAGTAAAGCATGAATTGGTCCCTGATGCACAGGGAGACATCAGGTCGCGAGAAGGGTGGGAATTCCAAGCAGGAAAGACAAGCAGAGATAAAAAAAAAACAGGGCCATTTTAGGAACCATGAGCTGGCAAGACTGTTCAGGTTGAGAGAAAAATAGGATACAAGACTAAATCAGATCATGCTGGACACTGGATGCCAAGTATGGAGCTCTGGTCTTAATTGTGTAGGAAACAGGGTGTTTAAAGGATTCTGAACATGGATCTGCCCTACACAGAAAATTTTAAAATGGTGAGGCCTTAAAGGAGACAGTGAGGCAAGAGCACTCCGCAGGACTCTGGGTAGAGGGGTGAGAGTCAGGCGAGGGGGCCAACTTGTGGGAACAGAAGGAAATTATAATGTTACGAAGGGGGAAATGATCAATAGGACTTGTTAACCTCCTGAAAGTGAGAGAAGCAAAGGAGAAAGACAGACATTGACCCTGGGCTCTTGAGAGAATGGCTATCCTGATAGCAAACTGGTTTATACATATTGATTTAAGGCACAGCAGTACCACACAGGCAGCGATAAGTAGAAATCCTCAGCCAATTCATTGTGATTTGGAACTAGAACTTGGGAAGGACAGGCAAATAATGTGTATTAAAATGCCACTGTATTCTCAGCTATGTGCTAGATTCTTTGCCTATATGACCAATTTAGGAAAGAAATAGGGTTAAAGTTTGCAGTTTGGCATCATCTGCATAAATGTCAGTCAAATCAGGAGAATAGGCAGGAGTCCATAAAGACTAATTTATTACACTCTCTCTATGCCCCTTCACTATGAAATAGTTATCACACAAAAGTAGATGTATATAAAGACCACTGCATCATATCACATCACAGAATCACTAAAAATTTCTGGGTTCTATTATTCTGAGGTTTAGGAGTGACTAAGACAGAAAGGGAAAACAGAATTGCAATCGTTCTTTTCTAGTTTTCTCTCCTCTGAGGGAGGTAAACAGACACAAAACAGGAGTCAGGAAGGAACCAGGGAAGAAAGTATTTGGGAGAGTTTCCACCTGCTGAGACAAACAGGAATGAAAGTCAACTCCCTCCTTAAAGAATAATAGCCATTTTAACAGAGTTGCTTACTTTTCTGGAGTTCATTATCAGTTTACAGACATGCTCCTTTCATTCTGATCATAAAACCTTCCATTCACAAGCCAGTGACAAGTCACATACTCCCTCTTCACGCTCTCTCTGGCAGACTAGGGTCTGGGTTTTCCCTGTTGTTTTGCATGCCGATCCAGGAGCTCATGCGCAACAGGCATAGCAAAAACACATGGTAGCAGTCGTCAATCTTTACATTTGCCACCATTCTCCAGGGTGAGCTGGGTCAATTCCTTCCTTCCTCCCAGGAAGAACATGTTTGCTCAAAATGACTCTTAGTTTAAATGTTCAGGGCAAAAGAAAAATGAAGAAGCCATAAAAAGAAAGATCACAGGGGCAGGTGAAGGGTAGGCTAAATTGCAGATGTATAAAGCATTTCAGCATGCAGTAGTTATTTAATGTAAAAGTGTTTTTATTCTGGTACTCTTACTTTCTTTGACTCTGTAAATGCAATGCAACAACTATCATAACCATGTATAATAACAGATTTAGTTAATGGCATAATTACTTCTAATTAGCAGAATATAGATGTCATCTTTGAACTTGCTAACAAAGGTTACCAGTGCCAATAATTCCCCAAGACCCTGGAGGAGAAATACATATCAGGAAGATACTTTCTCTATGTCCCTTGACTGTGAAAACAGTTACTACACAAAAATAAATGCATATAAAAACCTGATTCTTACAGATTCCCCTGGAATTTCTTGCTAGAAATGGGAGAGAAAGTGCTAGGAGAGTTTGAGACTGGGGGTGCTGTAAAGGGCAACCCTAGCAGTGCAGTCCCACTATCTAAAAGAGTGAATTCACATCTGGAACTGGCTGTCTCAAGACCCCTGCCTATATGATGGACTATTGAATAATGGATGCTCACACTACTAGAAACTAGGCAATATGCTTTGAACACATAAAATGGAGGTAGGGAGGAGGAGGAGACGCTGCAAGAATGCTTACTAATTGAAAGTTGCCAGAATGGAAAATTTTTATAAAAGTTAACAACGCCTACTTATTGTGAATTTCCTATCACACAACTAAAATACTATCACAAGACAATATTATAATGGAAAACAGTTATATTTAGACCTGTGCCAGCTGAAATAACCACCTGTTTTGAGAATGAAGAGCATTCATAAATTAATCACCACACAATCCATGCAGCAGAAAAGTCACTTAAACAGTCATAAAGTAACTAGACAAAAATAACTTACAGAATTGGCTCAAATGGGACAATGGATGTTTTCTATCATAGTTAAACAACAATCATTTACTTTCTTTGTTGCCATTAAACACTGAGTTTTCACCATTCTTAATTCTCTGATATTATTATTTTATTTGTAACCTAATTCCTAATCTGTTACCAGATTCCAGGAAACACCAAACAGGTTAGCACTTGGCAGGCAGTGAGAGCCTTATAGGAAGAAACCCTTTGTGTGTTCATAGACCCTTTCCACAGCCACAAATGAAGAGCAGAACATTCCAGTTTCCTCATGCTGACTCCCACTTCCAGGTACAGACAGCGAGAACATTGGAGGGCTTCATCTAGCCACCTGACCCCCTTTCTTTGTCTGCATTCTAAAAAAGCATCCTAAATTACAGAGAAGAAAGAGTAGGATCTTCATGACATCACAAGCATATCCACAGAAAATAATAAGTTTTCCTGTGGAATAAAAGACTTCACAATAAAATTTCAGAATTAATTAGCAATCCTTTCCTATTCTAATGGTACTGTATTTGCATAAAAGAACAAAATGTGCTAATATTCTTCTCTTACCTGCCTGCTGTCCCTTTGGGAGGATGCTGAAGAGGAGGCACTTCTATGGGTTGGGGTGGCTGTTTTATGAGCAGGGGATATGCCCTTCTCGTCTGAACTCATCGCTGCAGTTAAAGTCTAACTATGCGCACGTAAGACCATCCCAATCTTCTCTCAAATTCACAAAGAAGTAGATGATTTTTCAGCTTCATTCCATTTCATGGATTAGGTTTGACTTTCTAGAAAAGAGTCGGCAAATATTGTGGGTGTCCGAATCACCTGAAAGCAAAACAAGCAAGCCTCGAGTAAGTAATTAAAAATAAAATTGAAATAATTATACTGATCTTAAATAGAATAATATTAATTTGTGTTAGTGAGAGGAAGAACTCTGACACATTAGGAAATATTTCTTTTTTTTAAGGAGAAGAATGAAAGTGCTAATATGTAAAAAGGGACTATCAACAAGAGACCAAGTCATATTTTTCCCTTACATTCTCTTTCTTTGTTTTAAAGCAGATTAAAATGTCATATTCTAGACCCTATGCCAAAGTACATCAGCTTCTTCTCCAGAAATTAATCTCCTCTACCCAGTGGATCATAACAAGAGCTCAGTCCATGTTTGTCTTAGTTGAGTTCAACCATATCATGAATGTGATGGCTAAATTCAACAAAAAGCAGTCATATATGTGTATCCTATAATCCAGCATCTGTGAAGAGTCAAGGAATACACATAACCACAGTTATCTGTACCTCAAAAGTACAATTTGCCTACATGTGACTCTCATCAATCAAAAGGCTTGCAGGCATCTATAGATTGGCATCTATAGACTGACAGGGATATCTTGAAATGGTAACTGGAGTTCCTTCACTTATCCCCAACCTGTGGTCACTTCATTTTTTAAATTACATTCATATATGGAAGGTTCATATAGTTAAAAAGGTTATAAGCCTGTGTCAAAGAGAAACATTGTTAAATTGGTCTTGTCTCTAGTATAGGTATGGTAAAAATATTGAAAAGGTAAGCACTTTTTCAAGGTAAGCAATCTATGATATAAGATTAAAAGCTTAAACGATAATCTATGACCCAAAAGACAGACCACTAAAGTGAACTTTTTCCTCTTCTAAGGGCAAGTTCCAGCCCCATCTTAATGGTAATAATCTTTGAAGGAAGCACAGAACACGAATATAGATTTCATAGCACAGGTTGGGAGAAAAGCTGCTGACAAGGAACAGAAATAAATTTTTAGGCCAAAGAAAAGGGAGACCTGAACTGCAGTCTAGAGGATACAGAATAAGATAATTTTTTTTAAAAATATAAAGATGCATAGGCATTATGAAGACACATGGTGAGGCGAACTGATAGGTCTGGAAGTCAGAACTGAGATCTGAAGGATGAAGAGTTAACTAGGTGCCTAGGTGTCCAGTGTGGCATGATCACGGAATTAGTAGTGGCCAATATGACTAGAGAACAGAGAAATGGTGACATGGTGGTCAAAGGAAGGCACAGGCCAGTTCCTGAAGGGTCTTGTAGGTCACGTTGGTTGCTATTGTAACAAATATTGGGAGGTGAAGTCTAATGGGCTCCACTCTCAGAGATTAATGTTACCATATAAAAGCCTCATGGGAATGGGTTCTTTTTCTTCTGTTATTCTGGCATATTAGGACACAGTGCTCTTCCTCTGCAGAGGATACAACATTCAAGGCACTATCTTGGAAGCAGAAAGATGAGGCCCTAACATACTGGTAACTTCATCTTGGAATTCTCAGTCTCAGAACTGTGAAAGAGAATTTATGTTGTTTATAAATGATTATCCAGTCTCAAGTATTGGTTATAGCAGCACAAACAAACTAAGACTTTGGCATTTTGATTTTTATCATAAGCATAAGAAGCCATCAAGGAGTATGGCATAACCAGATTTGTGTTACTAAAGGATGACTTTGGCAGCCATGAGGAGACTCCAAGTGGGGAAGTAAAGAAGATGAGGGGGGCTCTGCTGGGACACAGGAAAGGATGCACTGGATTGGTGGCAGAAATCCAACACTGAGTCCTATACACTGTGACTGAACATGCAGGAGGAGGCAGGACTGACTCCTGTCGAGGATGACTCCCAGGTCTCTGGCATTCTGAGCAAGAAATGGTCATAGGAAATCCAGGATTGATGGAAAGAAGTCATGAGTGTGGTTTCAGGTGTGTTGAGTTTGAGATGTCACTGAGGCATTCAAAATGGAGTCAACACTTGGAAATGTAGGTCTGGAGTTAAGAGGAGTTTAAGCTAAAGATGTAAATTATGCAGGTTATGTTAATGGCACAAATATATTGATCAGATCATATAAATTCTGCATGTGCCAATAAATTAATTTTATACAGGTCTATAGTTATCTTTTTAAAATCTGTAACATAATGTTAATGGATTATGTAACCTTGAATGTGTTAATCAGAATTTTAATAGTCATTTGGTTATAGAAAATATTTGAAAGAACAATCCCAATAATTAAAGGGGGATTTTTATAAACTGGGAAAACTGGACATTCTAGTGAATAGACTTTGTAATTCATTCTTAAGATTTGTTTTTCTTTTCTTTTTTTTTTGAGTTGGAGTCTCACTCTGTCGCCCAAGCTGGAGTGCAGTGGCATGCTCACGTCGACCTGCTGGGCTTGGGTGAGCCCTCCGCCGCACCCTTCCAAGTAGCTGGAACCACAGGCACATGCTACCATGCCTGGCTAATTATTTTCTACTTATTGTAGAGACGTGGTCTCGCCAAGCTGCCCAGGTTAGTCTAGAACTCACGGGCCCGGGCAATCCACTCACCTTGGCCTCCCAAAGTGCCAGGATTACAGGCTGAGCCACTGAGCCTGGCCAAGATTTCAACTTTACTGACACCAGAGGAAAAATAAAAGCTACCTAACTCCCAAACTAGAAGACTTTCTCTTGAAACCAAACTAGCCTTTGGACAAACAAAAATTAAAAGAGCTGCACACCTCTTTTGTTGGTATTGGCAAAAGGTAATATTAAGCCTACACTTGAATAATGATCTTTTAATCTTTCTGTTTTATGAATGTACTCTAATAAGTATGAGTAAAGTATCTGAAGCCAAGCTCTGGTGCCAGCAACCAGAAGGCAAAAATCCTCGCATTCTGTGTTCAGATCTTTGATTTGAAGTACCTTGTTCTCTGGACAAGATGTTTTATAAGTAGATGCTGACACCTGAGCCAAAAGTATGGTGCTTTTGTGATGCGTTCAAGCGCCTCCAAGGGATGAGGTTGAAATAATTCACTTCATTAAACTGTTATCCATTTAGAAGTAAATTCAATCCAAACTACATTTCCTCTGCTGGACTTTCTCTCTCTCTTTTTAAACTGTACTTTCCCATTAACACCAAGGCTAACACCTTGATTTTTGTTTTAATTTGAACTGACATTTTCAGTCTAACTTTATGATGAAAGGGCAATATTTCGGTTGAATTACAATTATAAATATGATGACTAATATCAAAATTAAGAAAGGGTGAGTAAGATAACTTAATCTACTTCAAGAATTGGTTTTAGGGTAATTGTTGTTTATCTTCATTTTTAGTCTTTTTTTTTTGACAAGAAGGTTTCAAGTACCTAATATAAAGTTGAATGAGAGCACCTTAGAAGATCATTCCAATGATCAATCGAGCATTTGATCACCTGCTCTATTTCAAAATGTATTATAAAAGTAAGTCTAAACTCTGTTAGAAAGTTGCACCTACTTATTCTTTATTTCTAGAGGGTAGGAATTGCTGACACACACACAAACTTTTTCATCTCTATCAAAGCACATTTTCAGAACATAAACAATATTCTCAACCAATGAAAGACCATAGATTTTAAAGTCAACACCAACATAATTACTTTACTTGATAAGAAAAGTATCGTGGCCGAAAAATAGCAGTATCAGAGCTGAACATATAATTTTTCTGTCTCGTTCTTCCTTTATCAGAGTAGAAACACTAAAAGTATTGCTAAGTGCTATAACATTCGCATTTACACTGAGTGACATAAAATTCAGCTTTGTTTACCTATAAATCAGAATTTTATACTTGAATTAACTTTTGTATTTGAAATAAATATTGCAAACATTTATTAACTACATATTGACACAATTTAATGCAATTGTTATCAAAACCATAATAAGATTTTTAAGGACTTGGCAATAATATTCTAAAGTTCATCTGGAAGAGTAAATGTGAGAATAACAAGAAAAATTGCTTAAAAATGAGAGATATCTTATTATTAAAACAATTAGCAAGGAAAGAAGATGAAACAGACAGAAATTCTAGAAATTAATCTACGCAATGACAACAGGTAACTAAAAATATCAGTAAGAATATTATTTAGTGCAAAAAAGGAAATGAGTTATCAAGCTATGAAAATACATGGAAGAACCTTAAATGCACATTATTAAGTAAGAGATGCCGACCTGAAAAGGCTATATACTGTATAATCCCAACTACATGACATTTATATGACATTAGGACAAAATGATAGAGACAATAAAGACATCAGTGATTACCAGGGTTTCAAGGGAGGAAGGGATGAATAGGCAGAGCACAGAAGACTTTTAGGGACTATGTCACTATTGTCATTGTAGTCCGATGTCAGGAGCCACAAAAACAACTCAGATTATTCACTAAGCTTATCATTTTGTTAAGACTTAAATCCTCTGTAATATCTATTAAGTAATGCTGATTGTGCTTGCAGACTGCCTCATGCCAGTGCATTGATTTTATTGTATTGGCCTGAGATAACACAAAATAATTCACATGATCTGCATACTGGCATTTCCTATCTGTTCAGCAGTGAGTTAGAGAGAAAGACTATATAAAGTTCAACATTCCCAAAAGAAAACCTCTGGGTTATACTAAAAAAGACCCGCCAGGCTGCTAATGGTACTCTAGGGGCCTGAGACATTATAAGGTCTGTTCTCCCTGGTGCCAAGTTGTACATGAGGAACAGGGAATAGAGGCAGCAACATCAATTCTTTCAAAACACCACTGATGGGTTAGCCTGGCCACACAGAATTACAGCAGCTGTCACCTACCTAATTTACTAGCCATCATCTACCTAATTACAGACATTTCATGCTCAGGAATCCTAAGCAGAATTCTGAAAACCTGTCAACCTCCTGAATAGCAATGTTTATGACTGCTACGACATATTAGGGTGTCCACAATTCTACTAATGCTGGGCATCAGGCATGAGTGTTGGTTTCAATTATTGCTCATTCATTGCTACAGAAGGGAAGGAACAGCTGA